ATATGTCCTTTTGTATTCTATTGGTTCAATCACAATGGAGTCACGGACCAACAGATCAGATTGGAATTCCTGATGATTTTTCAGTATTATGAATAGGTATTCATTGAGAGTGACATTATATATTGAAGAATATTAGCTATTTAAAATGATTTCTATTGAAAATGAGAAACGCCGGGAATTACGTCCATTTGTATTCTTGGTTCAATTACCATATGTGACCCCAGACACAGTCGCGACCAACACATCAAATTAGAATTCCTGATGAATTATCACAAAATTGTATGGTAATTTATTAAAACTGCCATATGTAAATGAACGAATATTGGATATTTGAACTTATTTCCGATGGAAATGGGAAAGTGCGGAAGTTATGCTCGTTTGTATTCCATCAATTCAATTAACGATGTCGTCTGTCGCGACCAACATATCAGATAAGAATTCCTGATGATTTATGAGTATTTTGTATGGGTATTTATGAAGAGTGCCCTCTAATTGTAAATCAAGGATGTATATTTCAACTTATTTCGAATGGGAATGGGAAACTCCGGAAAATATGCCCATTTGTATTCCATCGGTTCAATCACCACATCAGTCGATAGTCAATCGCGACCAACAAATCAGATTAGAATTCTTGACAATTTACCAGAATTTTGAATAGAGGGTGCTAAAAATAGTATTTAGATATTAACAAATATTGTGTATTTCAACCTATTTCCATTGGAAATGGGTAACTCCGGAAGTTATGCCCATTTGTATTCCTTCGGTTCAATTACCATATCAGTCTGTCGCGACCAACAAATCGGATTAGAATTCCTGATGATTTATCGGAATTTTTTATGGGTATTCATAAATATTAATATTTGAATGTGAACAAATGATGGATATATCAACTTTTTTTCATTGGAAATGGGAAACTCCCGGAAAATATGCCCATTTGTATTTCATCAGTTCAATTAACCATGCAGTCAGTCGCGTGCTGGTCTGTGGAAGTTGGAATATTAAGATACATGCGATGCGGCAACACTATTTCTTTTTCTGTCTAGGAGATAATTTACATTATCAAACACCATATTGCTTTCCGATACAGTAGGTGAGCGCAGGCTCGTGCTGGATGGCGGATGCAGTAATTGGGAATCCTTTTGCATATTGATTTTGGCAGTGCCAATTTGGCAATAGATAGAGCTAGAGCTGAGGGGGAGGTCGTTGGCGGCGCAAAAGTTGTTCATAACGAACAAAGCCAACGAGCATATTAAGGCTGACTCTGGACACTCAGGGGCATAGATTACTGTCCATCTCGGTTCGGTTGGGGGCTCATGGGACGACCGTGCGGACAAAGTAGAATAGCGCGCAACACACGACTTGCAAACATTTACGGGTTGCACAAAAGTTTACTTTGGCGGTTCCGGTGAGGTCTTGGCAGCGTCTCAACAACTGCTACACTTAGGAAATCTCGCACAGGGATTTTTTAAAGTTGAAATTTGTGTTGATGAGCTGTTATTTAAATCCTGTCAATAGTATGTGTGGCAAGTGTAGCATTTACTACATAGGACATTATACACTTCACACTCACTTGATGTACTGCAAATTGCAAACAGAAATGCGTCATCTTTCATCAAGTGGTAATATTATAATTGATACACCCACTCATTATGTATAAAATATTTGATATCTGAACAACAGCAGAGGAAACAACGGCCGGAGGATGTCACTTTGTCACGGGGGAACGTGGCCTGTGCCAAGAGCAGCAAAAGGAAACATTTTATTTCATTCATCAGACAAAGAGGGAAAGAGGAATATCCGCCAGCGTTGATGTCCCATTTTGATCGTTGCCGTCCAAAACAAGAGATATAGTCACTGTCCGCTCCCGCTGTTCCTCCTCGTCCTCATCCTGGATTCATCTCCCCACGAACAAGAAGGTTGTACCTGTGTCTCGTTCCCACCCATGGCAGACACCATTTCCGCGTTTGTCTCGAAACTCAAGGACTTCTCCTTCCTCCACCCTCTTCCCTCCTCAAACTTCGCCGCAAAGTACTCTAAACTGGACGATTTATCCGTCAAAGTGCGGCAATCAGACGACTCCATCAACAGAGCCGTCGGGGGCTACCTCTCGGGGCACGCTGAACCTTCAATTCCCAAGGCCCATCCTGAGAAAAGAGGAATTTTGCTTGACATTTCGAACAAGAATAAAGTGATGGACGATCATTTATCCTCAAAATTGCAGAATACGGGAAAGGTATGTTATAATTTCTCTGATATATCTGGTATGGTAGTAATTATAAATGATTTCTATTATGGGAAACGAAACACCACGCAACACGGGAGTTACGTGTGAATAGAACACCTTATTGACCCATATGTCCTTTTCATCCCCTTCATGTTTTCGCTAATAGCTTCCACCGGTCAATGTAAACTTGAAAAGATCAGATCAATCGGTATATCAAGGAATCGGAAGAAAAGGGTTGGGTGACTCTATCGATAGACTGGAAGATCTCCTTGTTAGCTCTCTCACAATTAAAGGTAAATTACAAATAAACTTGTCTGCTCTTGAAATATGCGATATAAAATGTGACTATCTACTGTAGATCCAAGTTCTGTGGCAGACAACACTTCCGTCGTTCCCATTCGCGAAATTGTTTATGATCGTGAACTGGAAGAATACGTCGATGAAATCTTTGATCATCTAAAAGATCTCGAGGTTAGAAGTCGTGCTTTTGTTGAAGATACTTAATAACAACTGAGAGCTAACACTATGTATCAATTTGCTTCACAGATTCGATACCGTCCGGAATGGAATCATCTAGCTGTTCAACGTGAAGTGAGCATCGATATGAGAGATGGTGTTGTCGATTGGCTGATTGAGGTTTGTGATATAAAGCTCCTGCCCGTTTTTATGCCGAGTTATGTGTATTCTTATCAGTTTTTTGTTAGGTGGCCGACGGCATGGGACTTTGCCAAGACACTTTGCATTTGGCGGTCAACTACATTGATCGCTTCCTATCCAAATGCCGCATTACGGCCGATCGTTTGGAATGTTTAGCTATTACAGCATTATTCACTGCGTCGTAAGTCGTCCACGATGAGATATACCCCTATACGTACCAAATCGTAACAACATCATTCTTCCCTGTCTATAGCAAATACGAAGAAGTCAGCCCGTGTACACTTTCAGAAGCCGTTCAACTACTAGATAATTATTTTACTGGCACCGATGTATGTTTTCGCTTGAAATGGTCGCTCTTCTCACTATTGACTGACTTTGCCGTTTGACATCAACCGTTCCTAGATCATTATGATGGAAAAGAAGCTTCTGAAAGTTCTTTCATTCAGTCTTGACGTCGCAACGACGCAATCCTTTAACGAACGATTTTGCAAAGCTGCTGGAGCAGACGATAAAGTTATGTTATTAGTCAGCGTATGTAATTACTTCCATCGTTAGATGTCCACCGTAATTGAAAGTGGGAAACTGATTTTCATTCCGAATTACGTAGTACCTTACTGATATGGCATTGGTCGACTACAATATGTTGCGTTATCTTCCGTCTGAAATTTCGGCTGCTGCAGTTGTCATCGCTCTACACACATGCCAACGCAGGACGGTCTGGGTATGTTCTTGAACCGCGCACCTTCATGTTTTAATTTCTCGAGCACTCCAATTGTAGTGCTAACGTCAGACATTTGCTATAGGATACTTCTTTATCACATTACACTGGCTACTCATACGCCTCTCTAAGACGCCCCATCCAAGATTTATTCGACATGTACCGATTTTCACCATACTCCGCCAAGTACCAAGGAGTCCGTAAAAAGTATGCCTCTTCCAGATTTATGTCTGTGGGATCCATCTCTCCACCGAAATTTTTGCCATCGAAGCAATTGGAATAAGACTCGGCTCTGGATTTAATACCGAAATGTTAATGGAAACCTTCACTGCCGCAGCATCTTAACCTCCCATTCATTTCTTCACCCTGTCGCTACCTTTTACCGTGCTCTACGTCATTCTATGTCCCCTACGATTTTTTTATACCCTTAATCGATGTCAATAAATCGATCATACCCAGCCTTCCCCTAATGTAAGATAAAACGATTGCCTGAAGCTGAAGTTGACAGCAATGGACCCTACCGCAATGGAAAAAACCAAACGTTACCCGATGGCTAAAAATAACATGAAGTTTCTGCATCTTCACTGTGATTTGAATGTTCATCTTCCCATGCGTTCTTTTTACCTGGCGAAAGTTGGATGTCAGAGTGGATTTAACTTTACCTTAGACACTTTAGTTTAATGTTAATTGAATACTTGATATTGATATCTTTGCTTATTGCCTTTCTTTGCTTTTTGTGTACTATCTCTTCAATCCTGATTCTCACTGTTTATATCATTTCTGTCCTGATAGTAGGAACTGAATCTGGTGGTTTGTATAGATGAAGGGTTTATGATAACGAGTGACGATTTACGTTCGGAAGTGCGATGTGTTGGGGTAAAGGCTGGCATTACTTTATCCTTCACTTTCGTGTGTTGTGAACGTTTAATCTCTGACGACGCTGGACCCATTTCTCGTTGTAATTTTCCTTTTTCTCTTTTTGTTTATTAAGTGGATGTATAGAATATCAAAAAGGGTCTGTATATACTTGTAAAAAAATTTGGAGCGAAAAAATATATCAAAAGTTTGTTTTCGGTGGATTCTTGCTTCGTCGCACCTTCTGACGTTTGCGAGAATTGACGAAGGCGATCTTCTCGCCATCCAAAAACAAAAGGAAATAGTGGCCAAGCTGGCTAACTTGAAGCGAATAGCGAGTAAGCGTGAAACAAGGTGAGCATATCAGTTCTGAAGTACACGCATGGTTTATTATTATTCTTCCTTCATTGATTGATCAACTGGTTCCCGTCTAAACTATTTTACTTATTTGTAACGTCGCTAGTACCATTTCTTCGGAATAAACAGTTTCTACATATTGTTGTAAAGTGTTCATAAAATATAATTTGTTTCCTAAAACGTCAACAAGCAAAGTTGGTTTAGTGGTATAATTACCGCCTGCCATTATATGGGCTAGTACCAGAGGTTCGCGGTAGACCCGGGTTCGATTCCCGGACTTTGCATACTTTTTTCTCTATTTCATAAAGTTGATTATGTATCCACTATTTTTGCCCGCTTTAGTATCAAAATAACTATCGTGTTAAGCATGAATAATATGAAGAAGGCTGATCGAGTATATTTCCTTTCACATTGACTTCCATTCACCCATGACATACTGTAGATAGCTTCATATTCCGTGGAATTTGAAGTTTGAACACTATCTCTTCAGAAACAAAGCAATTAGCAGGAGTTTGTGACGTTCTTGGAGGTCAATGTGGGAGCAATGCCGATGGGTTTGACCACCGGGGCGTGTAGATAGCCAACACTAATTTGCTGAAGCCAAGCTGAGTACATCCACTCAAAACTTTTACGAAACAGATACAATAACACCTATAACCCCATGGTACGAATAATTATCATGCTGTATTGCAACCCACCACAATATTAATCAGACGCTTGGTTCAGATTTCAACATGGCATAATCGTCCCGACTCCAGACATTGTAGCTTCGAAAACATAGTTCAAAAGAACGTTACACACAAGCAAGGCAAACCACTTGTAAAAATGTCGTTTTGCAAGGTTTGATGGATCACCTATTGGTTTAAAATTTTAGCTGCAGTAGGTCAGACGAAAATTTAACGAATCAATTTGCATTGTGAATGGCATGATTTTCGACATTTAATTTCATAGTATGTAAACCTTTTTTTCTCTTCTTTCCATGACACACATATTTACGTACAAATGTATTGACTATTTGCTTGGATACCACTTATAGTATTGTTTCCGCCAATCGTGACAATCTTGACCACAATACTAAAGTTTAAATATCAATGATCTTCAACAGGACCTTCGTTCGAATTATAAGATTTCACGCGAAGATGGAAAGGATACTTAATAGCTTCAGAGAAAAATCAAGCAATTGCAAAGTGACAATCGTTAATGCACTGCTTGCCCGTAACGCTATCTCGTTTGTTGTGATGGGACGGATGGAAAGTCCTAGATTGTCAGTGAAGTCTGGACTCTGGAGCGCCTCCACGATTGTGTTCACAGACGAGAGCGATCGAATTTGATCGACATAATCCCAAATAAGCAGTAATGCCAAATCAGGATTTGTTTTCTTCGACGCTAGCGACATTGGTGACAAAGGGAGCTGTTACAGTGTGCGGATATATATATACCATCATTCTGATCATTGGCAGCCATCACAACTGGGATTCCAGCCTTTCTGGCTTGGTCAATTGCGCAACTGAACATATCGTTTTCTATCACTTCTCGCCTATATTTATACCCTCTCTCTCATTGCGTCCAAATCTACCTCTATTGTCGAAATGAAGCAACTCCATGATGACATAATTATTTACATGGTCTCTTCCTCATTCGGACACATGCATTATCGTTCAATCCTGACTCTCCGTTTACTCAACCGGAAGTGGAATAGCCTCGTCTCATCCAACGCTGTCTGGGGGCCCTTAATCGAGCAAGCCTTCCCGGAGTACGATGAGAAAAAATTGCAGCGGCTTTGCGTTAGACAAGGGATCGACTCTTACTTTGACCTATTCAAGACCCTCACACGAAAGAACAAATGCATCGGCTGTGGAGAGACAACAAGAGGATACTCCAAAGTGTTGGGTTACAAAATTTGTATGGATTGTCGTCTCTGCGAAGGAAGTGAGGGGGATCGATGGTTTCTGAGTAGAGACCAAATACTCGCTCGATACGATGGATCCGATACACTCAAGAATATGTTGCAATACATCCCTCACGACTGGCTTCGCATTAACCGACTCTTCAGGAAGTCGTACCAACCTATCTGGTTTTATGAGCACATCGAAATTTATCTCAAATATGAAGGGTTTATTGATAAAGAGGAAAAAGAGAAGGAATTACAGAAAATCAAGGAACGTAAAGAACAAATGGAGCAAAAGGAACGAGAGAGGACGCTGAAGACGCAGAAACGCGAAGCGCTTATTCAAAAACGAAAAGATATGGTTCTCAAGTTTTTCAAGGGGAAGCAGCCAATTACAGAAGCCGATTGGAAGAACCGGGAGGTCCAATTGTTTACGCGCAGTGGTAAAAACGGTGCAAAGAAAACTGCTAGTTATATTATGGAGAAGCATGAAAGAGAAAAAGAGAAACAGAAAAGAAAAGAATTGTTAATTGCGAGAATGGATAAGCAGACTATCGAAGATGACGACTGGAATGACGACCAGGTCAGACCGTTTGTGGAAAAGGGTGAAAATGGTGCCGAGAAAACAGCGAGATATATTATGGAAAAACATGAGAGAAAAAAACGAGTTGACGATCTTTTCCGCGCCAACGAATGGAATGGACTTCCCTCCGGGAGATACCAAGCAATGCGCTCCTTTTTCAACCGATATTTAACGTTCGCTGTCGATAATACGGAAACCACGATATCAAATTCAGACGACTTTGCTAATGCCGTAAAAAGAGCAAACTACTACTACCTGCGTTCAGTTAAGAAGAAATGAAAACATTAACGTCTAGAAAGTGTCCTTGTGGAAAATTCATTTCTCTCAATGTTCTGAAAGAATGTGTAGATTTCATTGTAAATATGGTCCCTGCGAATATCATCACTGAGATTACCCTTTTTGATGAATTACGAGTCATATGTAAGGAACTAAAAAATGGAATAAACGTGATTATCGTTTTCTCAAAGTTCAACAATACCATGCCTCGTACTCTTCCTCTATTCTTGATGGTGACACGATATCTGCGTATCATCCATTCATCCTTTATCGGATCACATTTTCGAAGGTTTTGGGGAGCGTCGATAATGCCAGAAGCGATTAGATTTTGGGTTTTGTTTAACTAGTTTATGTATTTACTTGCTATAATTGTTATGGGTTATATACAAAAGTCACACAAAGTTTATACACAAAAAGAGTAAAAGAAGGAAACAGAAAATATGAAAGCTGATTCTATTAAAATTATTCAACACTATATTTTCTTCCAACAGTACCTGTATTTCCGACTCCAATTGTACCACTGGTACTCCCACTTCTTGAATCTCTGACTCTTCCACCACCAACGCCGATACCGATTAACCCTCCTATAGCATTATTATTAGCGGCGATTTTGTTGAGGTTTCTTTCTAACTCGTCTAACACTTTGACACTTGATTCTGATAAGGACATTAGAAGGGTGAGAAGTTTGGCTTTGTCGTTGGATTTTAAATGAATGTCGGAAGTGATTAAATGACCAGTAGTTGGGTCGGATATTGAATGAGTTTGGGATTGGTAAGTTGATGGTGACAGGGTTGGATGATGATGAGATGAGTGTGTGATTGTATGAATGGAAGATGGAATCGATATTTGTCTGGACGTCGGGGTTCGACTTCGCGTTGGACCATTCGCCACTGTAATATCGGGCTTGGAATTGGAGGCGACTAGTCCAGATAAATTTGATGAGGACGCGGTGGTGTTTGCAGAGTATAAATTTGGCGAAGAAATGGACTGGACGCGACGCATTTTGGGAGTGCCCGGTGTATTGGGAATCGATGATGCACCATCCACTGAACCTTTCCGAGATCGTGCGACTTCGGGAGAGAAAGCTGTCGTTGATCCTGATGATGGTATGCCCTTGATTTGTTGCAATTGAGGTGCTTGTGCCATATGGACTGAAGACCGTCGGGAACTCGTAGCTTTAGTGGCTGCAGTAGCAGCCATATCATTTGAATTTCCATCATTCGCTGTGTTCCCAGATTGATTAACCGAGTTTCTGTTTCCATCTGGATTTCCATCAACACCACCAATCCCATTGTCCAAACTATTTTCGCTGCCTTGAATAATTGGCTCTATGGATTTTCCAAAGACAATACCTTCGCGGTCACTTTGGCTTTTACTTCTCTTCTTCATTGCTCGTTCTCGTTCGATAAGGTTTTTAACACCTTGCACTGGTGGAGGAGACGTGGAAACGATTGATTTGCGTCTCAGTTTCGTCGGCAACGAAGGACTAGACCCTGCGTGAGAGGTTGGCTTCACTGGTGCTTCCAATGACGCCGATGACGAATCGATAGGCGATGTGGGCATTGAATGTGCGGAGTCTATCGTATCTAGGGCTGTTGACTGATTCAATGCGCTAGGCAATGACGGTGTACTCACCACTGTAGGTCGTTTGAGGCTCTGATTCGGTTGCCGATAACTTCCAAGCTGACTATCAGATGGTTTGACCCCGTTTGTGGGCGGGTTCTCTGACGCCGACGTCGGTTTAGATTTATCAAAAGACGGGAACTTTGACAACGTAGGTTGTTTCTGAGGAGAATTATTTGCGGATGACGCTGGGGTGCTTACAGTGGATGAAGGTTCGGGAGGCTGAATAGCCGCTTCGGGTAATGTACTAGCAAGTGTCGGGAATGGCATTAGTTTTCTAGGTTTCGATTCGGTATGGGAAGGCTTAATAGTAAAACGATCAGGTTCTTTTTCAGGCGACGGAGCTTGAAGTCTAATTTCCGGGGTAGCTCCATTTAGTAATTGATTTTGTGTTGGTCCATTTTCCCCAGTTTCAATCTGTCCCCGATTCCCTTCTCTTTCCGTTTCACCCGCCTCCGTGATGGTATTCATACTGCCAACTCTCCGAATTTGGCCCTGATTCTGAGTAGTTCCGTTATTAGAGTTCAACAACCCATAGGTGATATCTCTCGCGGTTGGAACCTTCGGTGATGTTACTATCTTAGGAGATATCACTCCGGGTGCATTGGGAGAGGTGGAACCAGACGTCACTTCCGAACTTAATTCACTAGCGGTACTCGAACTTCTGCTTCGCTTCGATTTCAAACCTAAATTCAAGTTCGTCGTAAAATTAAGAAGAAACGAAAGCCTTCTTATTCCCTTCGAACCAGTTCCTAAAGTCGATGCGGAGGTATCCATCCCAGGAGGAGCCGTTGAAGCACGGGGACGGAGAAATCCGCCATTGCCGTTCGTCGTATTGGAATTGGTTGACAAGCCGTCTCGCGTAGGAGTTCCAATACTGGCTACACTTCCCACGCCTGATCCACTTTCATCTG